CGCAATTAAATTTCCTTATGGCGCAATTAAGTTGCAACTCAATTGAAATTTGAAAATAATTATGGGGATCATCTTTAATCATATAATTAACATATCTTTTCTTGAATTTGATGTTAGAACTTATTCAACTTGATATTTATGGTAATGAGTTTTATCTATATGAATATCTACAGGTCTATATCAGTTATTAATAGTTATATAAAGCCTATCAAAAATACCTTCAAAATTTTCAGCATTAAATTACCATAATAATTTACCTGATTAACCACAAAATTAAAATTACAGATAATCTTAGGAATATTTTACCAAGCATTTACATCTATTCATTTTCTTCCTTTTGAAAAAGGTGGTTTAATTGCTAGGTCTCATAATAAAATAAAATTGTGTATAATTTTATTATAAATCTTATTAGTATCACCATTATAAAATATAATAATTGCTTTAAATATAATGATTAAAAGATCATGTTTAGGTGAATAGACAATTTCATAATGTAATACTTATATGCATCTTATAGTATAATATAAATGACAATAGAATTTATCTAAAAAAACTTTTGACCTATTTGAAATATTATTTTTGCCTTGTAAATTTCTTAAATATTTTCTTAAATAATAGACTTCGAAAGGCAACTTTTACAGATGATTTGTGTAAAATATTCTGATGTTTACTATGACTATAATAATGATCCAAAGTATACAATATTCAAAATAACTGCTATTTTAAAAGTTGATAATTACATTCTTCTAATTTTTATCTTAAAATAATTATTGATAATAGTATATCAGTAGTATAGTCAACTCTTGTTATAATAAACTCTATGTCCTAGACCTCAATTTCACTATAAGACTATAGTGAAGATTTTAAGAGATTTGATTGGCCAATTCGCTATAACAAGAGTATTTTATTATATTTGTTCAAAAAATTCGTTATATTAAGAGTTCGCTATATCAAAGTTGACTGTATTTGCTGGTATAATTAAACTACATATGACTTTTGCGATATTGAAGTTAAGTTCATTTTTTAGTTTACTGAGCTTTTTATATTCTATAAAATCCATATTTTGATTCCATTTGACAACTACTTATGCAACTGTAGCTTCTCTAATTTTTAGAACTAAAGCAACCTACTTGCATAATGATAAATCTAGATATTGTTTTTTATGTTATCTTATATCTAAAAAATTGATAAGTGCTAATTAATATTCTTTTTTTGTTATTGGTTAATAAAATTTTATTCTGTTTTAATCTATCTATTTAAAAATAAAGTAGTTTAAATTGATTTAAAAAAAATTATCTAAGATTGAACTTACTTTTTATATAATCAAGATTTTCACATAACTTGAATTTCAGAATTTTTATTAGAAAAGAAATTTGCATAATAAATATCATATATCTATATATTTATACTGAATAATATAAATAATGGTTTTATTTTATTTTCTATAATATTATATGTTAATAAAATAATTATTTTATTTTTTATAATATTATATATTAATAAAATAATTATTTTATTTTTATTTTTTTAGTTTTAATTATAAAATCTTATATAAAAGTTTTAAAAGATTTATCTATAAAATAATATTAAAAGGAATAATAAAAATAAATAAATATTTTTATTAAATAAATAAAAGTAATTTAATATAAAATTAAATTTATTTTTATTATAATTATAAATATTTTCAATATATATTTAAATAATTTTTAGAAATAATTTATATATAGATCTTTTGCAGTAAAAGTAAGAAAATTACTAAATAAATTTTTTAAATTAATATTAAATCTGAATTTATTTTACTAAAAAAATAATATTTAATTTATAAAATAAAATTTTTTTTGATAGTTTCCTTTCTTTTTACTTCAAAAATGCCTATATTATTATTAATTATTTTTAAATTAAAATATTAGTAATTTTATCTTATTTAATATATAAATAAATTTTTTTTTTAAAATTTATAATTATCTTAAAATAATAAATTTAATATATCAAATTATTCAAATATTTATCTTATTTATAAATATTATTATAAAATATTAATTAGCTAAAAATTAAAATATTCATATAACTAGAGCTTTATTTATTTTTTATATATTAGTTTTTTAAACTATTATTTTTTTTTATTTAGAATTAAAAATATTCAAATTTTTTTAAATTCTTATCAAAAAATTATTAATTTATTAATAAAATTTCTATTTTTGAGCTATAGATGAAATAATATATTTGTTTTAAATAGATATAATGATAAAATTCAATAAAAATGTTAAGAAAAAAATATTTAATTTATAGTAAAATTATTTTATTTAAATTAATTATTATTTTAGTGAAATTAGTAAAATTTGTTATATAAAAAAATGTTTTTATATAATGATCAGTATATATATATAAAAATTGTTATTAATTTATTATGAATTTATATGTATAATTAGTTTGTAATTAAATATAAATATAATTATATCATAAATTTATAATAAAATTAGTATATAATAATAAATTATATATAAATAAATTGATTTTAAAAAAGTCTATTTTGTTAAAATCTTTTATTTTAAATCATTATAAATTTTTATTTTAAATAATTTTATAAAATTTTAATATAATAAAATTAAAATTATTTATTTAAAAATATTCTAAAATTAAAAAAATCTAATAATTATTAAAAGTAAAATAAAAAATAATCAATTATATTATATTGTTTTATTTTCTGTAAAACATTCTTTTATATAATTACATTTTTGAATAATTTTCAATTTATACTTTTTAATGATTCCTGAAATATATTATATAATGAAGGATAATTTGTAAAAGACTTTAAAATTTTTATTTTTCTAATATATATTGATAGATAATATTTGGAATTATATTGAATTTTAGTATTTGTAAAACATCAATACTATTAGATATATTATATAGCATATAAAAGAAAAATATACCGCAAAATATAATAAGATCTATAGCTGCTTTTTATTTTATATATAGATACATATGATGTTATATATTTTTATTTATTACATTTAACATTATTATAAATCACGTGGTAATAGTGATTAATTCGCTGATTTACTTATTAATTTATGAAACTTGACGTAAATTAATTTTATTCTATTTTTTTTTTCGATTTAAAAGCTACAGTTGAAATGATTTGTCCTTTAACACCACCAAACGTAAAAGTTGGGTATTTTATATGGTCAAAATATTCAAATTCTAAAAGAGGAGATCAAAAAGAGTCAAAAAGGATATAAAATTTCAAGCAAGGATAATAAAAAGTTATAAACCTACCATCGTTAAATTTGTTAATTAACTCTTCATTGGTAAAATTACAACTTGTTAACAGAAAGTAACCATTTTGATCTAGCAAGGAATGAACTTTACTTGGATAAATATCTCTTGGATGGTTTCCTTTCTCATCACGATTTTCGTAGGGGGAAAGAGCAATGGCATCAAAAGTACCTTTATCTAAAATAATATCGAATTTTCTCGTGCCATTTAACCAGAATTCATCATTTCCTGTCGTGGAAGAATTAATTAAATCAATGACATGATATGATATGATATCATCAAGATTACGATTTTTTGCGATATCTTTTGCCAATCTAATAGCATTTGGAGAATAATCTATTCCCATTAAATTTGTGAAATAGTTGGAAGCTAATTCCAAGAGAAGATGACCATTTCCGCAACCTATATCAAGAATTGTGGTAGATGAATTTGATGAATTTTTAAGAACCTAATTATTTTCAAAAAAAAAAAAAGCTTATTAGTGAAATGGAAAGTGAGGTCATCCTAAAGAATTTAAAGATTAAAATCGTACCCAATCTACCATTTTTTCTACGCTATCTTCTCCAAACCTAATCGAATGAAAATAAATATAATTGATGGAAAGGTATAAAAAAAAAAAAAATCTAAAAGATATATAAATACCAGATTTCTCCGATATCGCCATTTTCTTGAAAATTTTTATTTTCTCTGTCATACAATGATTCCCAATATTCTTTTGTACCAAGTTCTGAAGGTTCATATTCGACAAGATTATTTTCTTTGGACATTTTATCGTCAAGGATCAAAAAAAAAAGGGGGGTTTATAGATGTCATATGACTTTCACATGTGATTATAACAATTATTATAACAGTTATAATTATAACAATGAATATAACTGTCAAAATTGTCATTGATTATGCATCGTGCTCAATTGTGACTGGAATTACACGAGATAATTTTGCCCAAAATTGAAAAAAAACAATAACCGATTATAACCTACAATGGAAGGGAAAGATAGTAAGATTTTCAGCAAATCTCACGTTTACAGAGAATTACATAATTAATTCCCTTTCTTATGTAAGTGATTATTAATGAGATTCCTGAGAATGTTTCAATACCACTATCAAACTCTGATCATCAATTCTTTTTAAAGAATTTCTTCAGTGTTAGCGAAGTAAAGAATTATTTGATATACCGCATTAATTATTTATACCCATAAGCCATTTTTCCTTGTAGGTTCAACTATGGGAAATAAAATCGGTTTAATTAATGACTTTTGAAATGTAACTGAAGTATTTAATGAAAATGAGAAAAAAGTGGGATTGTATGCACAAAGTAAACAATATTTAATTTACTATTATAGTCAAAAAAAAAAATTACAAAATTAAATTAAAAGTTTTCGGGAGAGAATTTTTCTAAATGGGGTTATCCAAATGGTCGCATTAAAAAATAACTAAATATAGGTAAAATTGATTTTTTTAAAAAAAACACAATTAATGGAAAATGTTCCAAAAGTTTAACTTATATATCATCAAATATATTGTAAGCTTGAAAATGTTCAAATTGCCCTAGGATACCAAAGTGAAAAATTAAATAAAGAAAAAAAAAGTTCTTTTTGTCGACCAGGTAAAACGATTGATTGGTTCAAAATACATCTATTATTGTTTAAGTGTGTAACGATGTTCCAGAATAAATTTCATATGGAGAATTTTCTTGATTAGATAATTTGAGAACATTTGTTTCACACTTATATTGACTTTCACTGCGTCAAAGTTTTTTTTTTTTTTCAATTTGTTTGCATATCAATTTAAAGAACCCTTGTTACAATTTTCGTAATTGTTTAAACACACTTTTTTGACCGGAATATCCGAGTGAAGTCCGAATAAAAGCCAATTCATACGTCAATTTATGATTTAATCATTACTGCGTTGGGTAACAGAAAGTGGCGTTTTTTTAATAGCATGAATGGTGGTTATGCTGGCGTTTGTGTGAGTGTTTTTAAGCATTTCTTTCATCTGTGCGTAAATAGAGATATAAAATCAAAGAAACAACCCCAAATTAAACCAACCTCTTTGATGATTCATGGCGCAGCAATATAAATTTTATAGAAAAGAAGCAAAGTAGGTGAAGGGTGAAATTGACTGTTCTTTTGACTTGTTCTATTCCTTGTTATCAAAATTAAAGGCTTTACATTTCGGAATAATTTCCTGCATAATAAAAAACCAGGGTACACATGACTTTGCTACCCATGTTCTTAAAGCCACGCATTTACTTTACTTCCAAGTTTAAATGTATAAAAAAAAAAAAAATGTAGAAACTTTAAAAATTTCACCAAACCAAAACAAAAATTCTGTGAATCAAAATAAGGAATCATGGCTGCATAAATGATTAAATAAACCAATTTAGAGTACCTTTTTTCTGTGCAAAATTTTTGACGATTTGAAGTATACAAAAAAAAAATACTACAAAATAAAAAAAAAAAAAAATATCCCTGGAATTTTTATTAAAAAAAATTTTTTTTCCCACTCCCAACTCTTTTTTTTCGCTCGTTTTTTTTTCTTATTAATAATCACGTATACCTTACTTGTTTTTGACACGTGGTCATTGTCCCCCTTTTATACTTTGCATCAGGTTTAAAATTATACAAAAAAATTTTTATGTACATCGTGCGTGCCACTAGCTTCTAATTATCTTTTTGAATTTGGTTTTTAAACAGTATAATCGACATAAGTCGATCAATGTCTTTTCAATCCCACGAAGCTGCCGAATACTTAGAAAACCTTCTAGCTTCCACTGGAAACCGGGAAGTCGAAGGTTACTTAACCACACCTCAGTTAAGCAATGTGCCCTCGGTTTCGTTTCCAAACGTACATTATAATAATATGGCTTCAGTATTCGCTGCAAACAACGTCTTGTAAGTATTCGCGAGAAAAAAGCGTTCCGTTTTAAATATAGGACCAAGTAATATTAATTCGAATTAACTTTTTGATCTGAAATCCTTTTAGAAGGGGCAGTACATCAATTATTTCAAATCATGATAATTCTCAACAATCATCC